GAACAATAAGGCGTCGCCAGACAATCGCATCAACACCGTCATGGCCTGGAGTGGTCGGGACTAGACAAATACTCATTTGTCTTGCTGTACGCCTTAGTTTTGTTTTCAATTGATCTGTTCTCAAAAACACAGAAACGTAGTTGCAAATATTTTTGGGATTTCATTATTTCATTACTTTGGGAAACTCCCTGGAATGGAAAAGCGAGAACGACACTGGCATATATATTTTTTTATTTTTCCTCTTCTCCCATAAATTTCCGCAAATGTTGAAGTTTCTGTTGAATTTTCATTTTTTGGTGTCGATTTAAGAGTCGTAATGAAAAAAAAGCTATGCATTGGTAAAGTAATTTACAATTTTTTTCCTTTGAAAATGTCTAGAACTTGATTTCCTACCTACAGTATTGAATTTGCAAATACAAATTGTATTTGGCAAATTCTGTTTAAATGCAGGCACACATACATTGATAGGTACAAACCTAGAGCAAAGAACCTCATTACAAGAGTTGCAGTACTGAATGATTTAGAGATTTCAAATTTCAATCGTATTTTCCAATTTTATTAGTCTTCGGAATCCTATCTTTGTCGTATCCCCCACATCGAAGAGGTCATATCTATAACCATAATTTGTCCATGTGTTTTTGGTTCTCGGTATTCACGTTTCTCATTGCCTTATTTTGTAAAAAAAGCAAAAATCGTATTTTTTTATTTATATATTTTTAATTAAATACAAATTATATATACGAATATAAAAATCCATTACATTTTACTAGACCCAAAATACGTATTTAATTTGTTGTATTTTTGTTTGTATTTTTGCTGGATATTATACATATTATACATACACCGCATACGTATGTAACCAGTCATTTATTTGTGTATGTATATATCTTGAAGTCTGATATGCAAATACACTTTACTATACGAATTGCCATTAATTGTATTTTTGCATTTATTGCGTGGTTTCATCTGGTTTTCCAGTATTGTGTTTTTGTTGCTGTTTTTGTATTTTTTGGATAGAAGTGTTTTTGGGCTGATTTTTTTGTTGTTGCTGTTGCTTTTTTGTTTTCCTCATTTTAGCCCAATAATAATATCGGACGCCACATCGTCCATCGTGCCAAAGGAAATCCAGTCTATAATTTTTCATTCAGTTCTGATTCTCACATGGCATCGCAACGTTTTCTTCTCAATCATTTTCTTAGTGTCATTCGAAAATTCTTCATCTCCTCCCATAAGAGGTGGCCTCAGTTGTTCATTAAATTCAATTGCTTTGTGAAGAAGCGTCGATCCTTGTTGTTATTACGTTTACGTTTATATTTTCGCAGAATTGTAAAATTCTTGTGGCATTTTTTGGAAGGCCATAAAATCTGGCTGCTGATGATGTTAAAAACAAAAGGTGTGTTTTGGTGTGAATGGTCCTAGAAAATAATTAAAGATAAATAGAGAAAAGAGACATTACATATAAATAAAAAATTAATTTTCAAAATTTTTATTAACTCAAAAAAAATACTCATACTTAAAAATATCCAAATGTTAATTACTTCAAGATATATTAAAAATTTATTAAAAAAATATATATTAGGATTTTTTAATTAATTAGAAAAATAATCTAAATTGTGGCACTTGTGAATTACGTTAAGAACAGGAGAAACATTACATTAAAAAATAAACATGATGAATATTAAAAAAAAAAACTTTATAAAATTTTTAATAATTCAAAAAATAACAACTTATAAAAAATTAATGGATTTTTATTAATTAAAAAAAAATACCAACAATTTATAAATAAATATTCGGGTATTTAATTAATTAGAAAAATAATCTCAATTGTAGCACTTGTGGATCACGTTAAAAATGGAATAAACATGATGAAAATATTATAAAGAAAAAGTTTTCAAATTAAAAAAAAAATCCAAAGAAAATGAATTTTAAAACAAGTTATAAAAAATATTTAGATTTTTATTATTTCAAAAAAATCGTAAACATCTATAAAGTAAATTAAGAAAAGTAATCTGAATTGTGGTACTTGTTAAAAACGGAAGTTTTGTTAGTGTGAGTGTGTGTGAATGGTCTTAAAAAATAATTTAAAAAAAGAGAAACTTCAGTTTTTCAGTAAAAAATTAAAAAAATAATATTCAGATCTTTATTTAACAAAAAAAATTAAAAAAAAAATTTTTAAATAAAATATTTATATTGTTTTAATTAGATTAAAAAAATACATAAAATATAAATAAAAGTTATTGAAAAATCTAGGGAAAAATAGGGAAAACATATGATTTAACACATAAATTTTAAAATTTTCAAATTGCTGAGGAAAGAATTAAAAAGATTGTTAAAAAATTAACAAAATAATATTTTTGAAACATTTTGAGAAAAAAGTGATTTTTCACCTCTACTTTAAAAAAAAACATATTTTTAACGAAAAAAATTAATTATTTTTCTGATATTCTATCTATATTATATCAATTTAAAAGCCCAAATATTCCTAAAATTATTTTTTTTTTTTAACTGTTTTGAATGATATTTTGTTGGTTTCGGGAAAATTGATACTTTGAGAGGACTTTTGTTTAAAACAGCGATTCTTGCATTTTATTTTTTTTTTTTTTTTGCTTTATTTGAAAGTTCTGTCCTATCCCTGCAGCTCTACCTTATTAAAAATTAGCTACAGAAAATTTTAAAAAAAATCTACTATGAGATTCTACATTATACCCTCCACCGTCCGTTTTAGCTTCCGAACGAAATGAAGTAGATTGCAACAATTTTTTCTCAAGTGTATATTATGTCTGCAGAACAGTTGGTATTGAAAATGGGCCATGTGGGTCTACGTTTTGGTATAGCCCGATATTAGGTATTTTGATGATTGTAGCGACATTATTCAGCGGAATTGTTTCAAATTTGGAATTTTGAGTTCGTAACGAATGACACAGCCTATGACAGAAAATTGTCTATGCAAGTCTACGTCTTCATTTAGTCCCATATAACGGTACCTCCCGATATTCGGTACTTTGATGATTTTAGCGACATTGTTCACCAGAATTGTTTCAAATTTGGTATTTGAAGTTCGTAATGGGTACTACAGTCTATGACAGAAAATTGTCTGTGCAGGTCCACGTCTTCATATAGCCCCAATATAACGATACCTCCCTATATTCGCAATATTGATGATTCTAGTTACATTATTCACCGAATATTTGTATTCAAGTTTCGCATTTCAATATTGTTATGGTTTGTGACAAAAGTTGCCCATGCAGGTCCACGTCGTCGTGTAGACCCTAATATAACGGCTACATTCGGTGTTTTTAAAATTTTACCAGAATTTTTAACGGATTTTATTTTTTTATTTTTTTATTTTTTTTTGAAAATTGCCAAAATCTTTCCAAATGGTGGAGGGTATTCAAAGATCGGCCCGGACGAACTTATATCTTTATATGTCTGCAGAACAGTTGGTATTGAAAATGGGCCATGTGGGTCTACGTTTTGGTATAGCCCGATATTAGGTATTTTGATGATTTTAGCGACATTATTCAGCGGAATTGTTTCAAATTTGGAATTTTGAGTTCGTAACGAATGACACAGCCTATGACAGAAAATTGTCTATGCAAGTCTACGTCTTCATTTAGTCCCATATAACGGTACCTCCCGATATTCGGTACTTTGATGATTTTAGCGACATTGTTCACCAGAATTGTTTCAAATTTGGTATTTGAAGTTCGTAATGGGTACTACAGTCTATGACAGAAAATTGTCTGTGCAGGTCCACGTCTTCATATAGCCCCAATATAACGATACCTCCCTATATTCGCAATATTGATGATTCTAGTTACATTATTCACCGAATATTTGTATTCAAGTTTCGCATTTCAATATTGTAATGGTTTGTGACAAAAGTTGCCCATGCAGGTCCACGACGTCGTGTAGACCCTAATATACGGCTTCATTAGTATTTTCAAGATTTTAATAGATTTTTAAGGGATTTTATTTTTTTTGAAAATTGTTAAATTTGTACCAAATGGTGGAGGGTATTCAAAGTTCGGCCCGGCCTAACTTACAGCTTTTTTACTTGTTTTTTTTTTTTTGGTATCGGGAAAATTTATACTTTGAAAATGCTTATTTTTTAATCGATTTTAAGGTCTTAATAATTCTTTGTTTCATTTGAGAGTTTTGTTCCAGCCCTGCTTTTCGACCTTATTAAGAAATTAGAAAAAACATTAAATTTTTTTTTTTTTTAAATTATAAATTTTTCTAATAATACTGTCTTTTCTTGAGAACAGAAATACAAATAATTGAAAAAAAAAAAAAAAAACACTAAAATTTCAGAAATCTGATAGCATCCTTCTGTGATTAGCTATATCGAAAATTGTATCCATGTTCAGTATCTAGAAACTCAGATAAGAAATTTTGACAAATTTCTAAAAACTTCTGTATAGATCGAGATATGATCTCCTATAGTAAATTCTTAAAAAAGGTTCAGGGTTTTAATTTGGGGGTAGTTAAATACAGCAGCATCTGACGAAAATTTGTTATTCCAAAGAAATATTTTAAAATTTGACTTTAGAGTAGAAATTAAAAATATTTTTTTTTACGAATATCACACGGTTGATATGGCAATACCTGTAAATGCTAGGGGTTTTTTTTAATATATATATATTTTTTTTATTGATCATATAATAATTATTACAATTCATTATTTCAATAGTTCCACGAAGCTATTATAGGCATTTTAATATATAAAATATACAAATGAAGCTATATCTCGATTTCAACAGACGAATGGACAAACAGGTGAACCTAGCTAAATACACAACTTTATGCTAATAAAAAAAAGATTGGGGTATCAGACCAATATTTCAAGGTGTTGCAAGCAATGGAGCACTATTTTTATTTTTTTTTTTTCAAGTTGCGAATCAATAAATTGTCTTCTCCAAAATTGTATAATTCTAAAAAAATTTATTTTCCTAAAAATGTCAAAAACATAATAATTTAAATATTTTATTTCATTGCAGATCATCAATTTCCCATTGACCTGACCAATGTTGCCAAGGATCATACCAATTTGGAAAATGATCAATTGCAGTCGCTGTACAGGCGTTTGTGTATCCTAAATCGTTGTGCCAATATGCGAGTGGATCAATCGCACAAAGCACAGACACCACAGGTGAGATTTCTTTTTAGCACCTTTGAAGTTTTCCACTAAATTGCAACTTTCCTCCCTCTTCCCCCTTCCAGAAAGAAGATTCGGACGATGAAAACTTTGCCCTTAGTGAAAACTGGACATTCCAACCCCACATACGTCGCTGGTCGCGTATTGGTGAAATGGGTCTTGAAATACCTCCCGCCGCAAAATTATCCACCTGTGAAAAAACCGAATCCTCATCAAAAGAATCCAGTCCCGATAGATTCGAGGATGATTCTTATGATGTCACCGGTGGCCCTCTGTCCTTAGTTTTACCCGGTACCTATACAGATGATTCAGCCGATCCGGCTGCGAATGACAGTACGGATGTTAACGCCAGTCCATTGCGTCGCACGGGTAGTGAGCGTTTGAAGGATGGTGCTAAAGCCATACTCAGGAGAGTGGAATCGATAAAGTCGAGAAGAAGAAAACGCCAGGGCATTGTTTTGAGTGGTCCCCAGGCATTGGATTTGTCGCAATTGGGTCAGAGATCTAGTATGCGTAAGCCAGATGCTGTATACTCGACACCACCTTCACCCTCAGCCGTCAGTCCCATGCATACGTTCAACAAGGCTCCCATATTTGGCAATGAACTCAAGGTACCCTCACAAAGTGATAACTTCTTGAGTCCGAATAGGGCAAGTCCCAAGCGAACACCCACCACACCACGTTCCATGCGCACCAGCCCCTTGCATTTCTTTACCAACACCATGCCACATGTTAAGGAGGGCAAATCCGATGACTCATCATCGTATTATAGCGATAGCCAGGAATCCACGTCAGCGGTGAATAAGATGAGCGTACGTAAGACACCCTCAAAGGCTCGCCGATTTCTGCAAAGAACGGGGAAGGTCGATGATATTGGGGCGCATTCAGACTCCGAATGTCATCAGGGTAGAAAGCTATTGATCAAGGATGCCAATGCCAACACCACAGAGGTTAAGTCCAAGAAACTCTCAAGAGGTGGTTCCCTTAATCTGGGCAGAGATGGTAAGAAACGTGAGGGCTTTCGATCGGCCAGTTTCCGTTCACGGTCTACCACACGCAAAGAACCCAAGGTGGAGGTAGAAGTGGAACCCATTAAGAAAAGTGCTCCTGTCGTACGGTGGCACAGTTTCCAACTGGAAGAACGACCCCACATGATATTCCGCAAATGTTTTGCCCAGAAAAATGATCCTCATTCCAATGAACATGGCATACCCTTTGCGGCCATGTCAGCCGGTCAATTGCAAATGATACGCAAATTGGCATTGGTCACACTGACGGGCTATATGGAACGTTATTGTCCCACTCACCGTTCGGGCTGGAATTGGGAGTTGCCAAAATTCATAAAGAAAATCAAAATGCCCGACTACAAGGATAAAAAGGTGTTTGGTGTTCCACTGTTACTGATTTTACAACGCAGCGGCCAAACTCTGCCCATTGCAGTGAGGGCCGCCTTCCGTTGGCTGCAGCTCAATGCTCTCGATCAAATTGGCCTGTTCCGCAAGAGTGGTGTTAAATCGAGGATTTTAAAACTCAAAGAACTCATTGAATACTCAGAGACCACAGCTGAATGCATGGATGTTTTCGATACTCAACAGGCCTACGATGTGGCCGATATGTTGAAACAGTATTTCCGTGATTTGCCAGAGTCATTGTTGACCACCAAAATGTCGGAGACTTTTGCGGCCATATTTCAACGTAAGTTTTAATAAAACATAGTAGATAATGGGAGTCGAATAGGTGATAATTCAAAAATTTCTTTTTAGATTTACCCACCGAAGTGCGTTTGGATGCTGTGCAATCTGCCGTCCTTTTATTGCCCGATGAAAATCGTGAAATCCTCTATGCTCTCTTGGAGTTCTTGACCCTGGTGGCTGCCAATTCGCAATATAATCAAATGACCGCCAATAATTTAGCTGTCTGTTTGGCCCCCTCCCTGTTCCATAGCAGTATATCAACTGGTAGCAATTCGGTGACAGCCTCACCGCGCCGCAAGGCCAAAGGTTCCGGTGTCCCGGATGCCAAGGAACTGTTCGAAGCCAAGGCTTCTCACGAGTGTTTGGCATTTATGATACAAAACTATAAACAAATATTTACCGCACCCAAAGAGAAGTTGGCCAAGTGTAAATTTGGCTACATGGAAGAATCTAAACCACTGCCCCTGGAAGCCTTGGGTGAGGGTATGCAATTTCACAATTGGCGTGGCTATTTGTATGAGAGTACAAGTGCCACCATTAAGGAGGGTAGAGAAAAGTAAGTGGGGCATATTTTTTGAGATTTAAGTGAAGTGTTTATTAATTTTCTCTAACTCCCTTTCAGATCACGCGGCTGGATTACCACCACATCCATAAATGACAGCAACGTTGAGATTGCCTATAAAAAAGTGGGTGATGGCCATCCACTGAGATTATGGCGTTGCATTACGGAAATTGAAGGACCACCCAAAGATGTTTTGGATTATATAATAAGACAACGTGCCTCATGGGATCCAAATTTGTTACAAAGTCAAACCATTAAGAAATTCGATGATTGTACGGAAATATTCCAATATGCCATTGATGGCCAACAGTGTACAGATTTTTGTGTATTAAGGTAGTGGTTGTAGACATTTCTCTATTCTTTTGGAAAGTAATAATTGTTTGGTTGTGTTTTTAGATCTTGGCGTACTGATTTACCCCGTGGTGCTTGTGTGATTGTTGAAACCTCCATTGATCATGCAAAAGCCAAACCCATGTTTAATGCAGTACGTGGTGTGGTATTGGCCTCAAGATATTTGATAGAACCCTGTGGCAGCGGTCGTTCAAGGGTTATGCATTTGGCAAGAGTTGATGTAAAGTAAGTCAGATTTCAAATGTAATTTAATTTAAAAAGTAAACAAGTAAAAAAGCTGTAAGTTTGGCTGGGCCGAACTTTGAATACCCTCCACCATTTGGAACGAATTTGACAATTTAAAAAAAAAATAAAATCCGTTAAAATTTATGTTAAAATCTTAAAAATACCAAATGTAGCAGTCATATTAGGGTCTAAACGACGACGTGGAACTGCAAAGGCAACTAAAATGCGGACCTGCACAGACAATTTACAGTCTTAGGCTGTAGTATCCATTACAAACTTCAAATACCAAATTTAAAATAATTCCGATGAATCATGTCGCTATAATCATAGAAATACGGAATATCGGGAGGTATCGTTATATAGGGGCTATACGAAGACATGAACCTGCACAGACAATTTTCTGTCTTAGACTGTAGTATCCATTACGAACTTCAAATACCAAATTTAAAACAATTCCGGTGAATTATGTCGCTAAAATCACCAAAACACCGAATATCGGGAGGTACCGTTATATGGGGGCTATACCAAAACGTGGACCTACATGGCTCATTTTTAATACCAAAAATCCTGCAGACATAGTATACATTTGAAAAAAATTTTTTAAGTCTACTACATTTCGTTCGGAACCTAGAATGATTTCCACAGACGGACGGACCGACATAGAATTTTATACTGATCAAGAATATATATACTTTATGGGTTCTAAAATGTATATTTCGAGGTGTTGCAAATGGAATGACAAACTTAATATACCCTCCATACTAGGGTGGAGGGTATAAACATAAATCTGGTTCGAAATATGAATTCTACGCTAAGCTCGCTTTTGTATCAGAATGTTTTATAAAAAATATCCATCATGGCCAGATATCTCCATTGTGGAAACTTTTCCCCTTCGATGATATTTTAACAAGCTACATCAAACATGAGGATATACCCATTCTGGAAACTTTTCTCCTCAGATGGTATTTTAACCATCCATAAATGACGGCAATGTTGAGGGGATAAATCACAAATATTGTTTTTTCTTTTTTTAATTTTATCCAAAGTGATAAAATAATAATATTGAAATTTTTTTATATAAAACTTTATTATAACCTAATTAATTTCCCATTTCTTTTCAGGGGCAAAACTCCAGAATGGTATAATAAAAGTTATGGGCATATTGCATCGCATTTCTTAACTAGAATACGTTTGGCATTTAAAAACGTTGCTGAAGGTCCTGAAAGTAAAGTGTAATGGCTGAAGTAATAACAATGCTCTGGCATAGTAAATTAAGAAAACAAACTGATATCTCAGTTATGTGGATCTCCTCCCGAAACAAAAAGTGAAAAAAAAAACAGAAAAAAGGATTATACATCACAAACCAAGAAGAAACAACAATCCTGCAAACTGAGAGTATAATCAAAAAACCATGATTATAAGCTGTACCTCCTCCCTCCCGCCTCACACAAAACAGAAGAAACAAAAAGTAAACCAAAAGTACTGATTTTATTTTGGATTTGACAAAATATTATATATTACTACAAATATATAGGTGTATAGGAAATATACATACATATTTATAGTTATGTTATATGCAAATATATATACAAAAAAAGAGAAATTATATAGTAAAAGTAATTGTCGCAAAATTTTAAGAAATATTTTTTTGACAACAAAAACAAAAAGGCATTTATAAAATGTTGAAGATACAATGTACACATCCAATTGTTATACCCTTAAATGTTATACAATAACTGTTATAAAAGTAATCACACACACACACAATAAGAAAAACAAGTAATTATAAGGGTCCAGGAATTCTTAAAACAAGGGCGGTCTGTAATAGAACCCCCAAAAAAACTAACTTTCCAAAAATTATTTTTTTTTTACATTATTGACATACATAAATTTACATAACGCATGGAGGGAATTCGACCCAGGACGAATTTACTTCTTTTGGAATTTTTTTGATTTGTTTTGGAAAATAATGCTTGAACTGTGCTTCACACACACACCATAAGAAAAGCAAGTAATTATAAGGGTCCAGGAATTCTTAAAATAAGGGGGGGTATATAAAAAACCCCCCAAAAAACCTAACTTTCCAAAAATTATTTTTTTTTTTTACATTATTGACAACATATATAAATGTACCTAGCGCATAGATGGAATTTGGCCCAGGACAAGTTTACTAGGTTTGAAATCTATCCTTCGGTTTAAAATCTATCCTGGTTTGAAGAATTACTCCATAATTTCAAAAAAAAAAGGAAACCTGCGACCAAAATTCAAATACCTTGATTTTCCTTGCTCTTTTGACCGTTAAAATATTGCAATAAGTTTCGATCGAGCGATTTATTCTGTAAGGAATAGGCTGTTAGATAAAAAGAACCATAATGTCTTGAGAGCTATATTTGGCTTTAGTTAAAGTTGATGGACCCATAGGAAATTCCTCAGGAGTATAAGAATGATTTTGTAAATATTTTAAAGGGTCACTGTTTTATATTGGGGTTTTTTTTTTTGTTGAAGAAATAGAGAAATAAAAAAATATGGCCTTCCGTGACTGAATTTTTCTGATCAGCATTTTTCATATAAAAAGTTAAATCCAGGCAATAGTGGTCCATTAGATTAAAAAATAAAAAAATGTACCCTTGTTTTTGACAAGATACCTCAAAAGCTGATCAAGGGATTACTTTTAAATGCCCAGAAGTAGATGTGAGACCTTTAGTGAGACCCACATGCGTTATGAACAATAAAATGAATTTTATTTAATTTTCCTTTTTTACTTCTTTTTGTAAATAATTTTCTATATTAAGTTTATTTTTTTTTTCATTTCAAAATGTGTAAAAAACTTCTTTTGTATTACCTTAAAATCTATTTTTATTGCAACTATTTTTAAACTTATTAATTATATTTTTCCAAAAAAAAAAAAAACAATAATTCTGTATTATATTTAAAACACATCTATATTTAATTATAAAAAAAAAATATTTAAAAGAAATACTCAGTAACTGAAATATCACAAAAACTATCAACTTAATTTATCAAAGTTCTATGTAAAATTGTAAACAAAAAATATCCAAACCAGAAAGCCTTATATTAAGTTTAAAATATTTTCTTATTTTTTACATGTAATATAACCTTACAAAATTCTTCTACTTTAAGTCCCGCAGAATCATAAAAGAATGGAAAACTTGTAAAGCAATTAGTAATTAGCAAGAAAAACAGAAAGAGGAAAAACAAAAAAGAAAAACAACCACTAAAATTGTGTAAAGGAATTAAATACTAGTCAAATTTTTTTGTTTGTTTGTAATTTTTTTTTTAAGTTTAAGAAAAACAAACAAAACTCTGTAAACTTTATTCTACAACAATACAAGAAACAAACAAAAGCACACAACACACCCCCTTTATTATATACAAATATATAATTATCAACAACTAACACGAAACTATGTAATATATTACTAACCTTAATTCTCCTCCCTTTTTCCCGGGTAATTGTTAAGACTAATATTCAAACAACCAAACATAATAATAATAATAATAATAATGATAATGGTAACTCCAAATGGACAAAAAATACAAACAAACAGAGCTTGTATTGGTTTCAGTAACAAAACAGATTCAATGTTTCAAAAATATTAAAAAAAAAGAAATATATTCAACAAAAATGTATACAAAAAAAAAAAAAACATGTGTTTTATTTACGAAATATTCGTGGAAGGCCAGGTTGTCAGTTAGAGCAGCTATAATTCTTGACAGTTTTCGTTGACTAAGGATTATAAAGAGTCCATAGCTAAATTATGTCATTCACCTTTTTTTAGAATGATTAAATAAATGTTATCTTATCCTTCCCACTTTTGGAGCAATAAACCGCAAGTATTATTTATTTGTTTTAAATGTCGTGTTGTGTTTAATTAACTTGCCACATTCCTATAGCGTTGTTTTAAAAAGTTATTTGAAAGATTCACAATCGGCCTATTACGGTTGTCGTCGTCGTGGCAAAATGAAGTTGAGGTGACAATAACGGTATCAGGGTTGTCGATAGCGATGAATGATTGATATAATCATTGTCGATACAACAGTCGACGTGAAGTTAGAGAATATCTGTCGCCGTAAAAAATTGTGGCAACATTGTATTTTTAGTCGACTTTGATATTTTAACCATTTTGTATTTGACATTTGACCATGAAAATAACAATAGCAAGATAATTTGGAGATATTGAAGTCATTTCCGTCACTGGTCTGCTAAGATCCTAGCGCTAAAAAAACTCAATTCTGTGGCCAATTGAGACAACTCTAGTTTATTAAAAACTCTTTGACTTTTTCGAATTTTTTTTCTAAAGGTAGGTATTTTTACCCTGATTCCGGGAAACCATTGCTATGATTCTTCACATTTTTCACTCGAAAGCCTTTGAAGATATGTACCTATCCAACAAGTGGTAACTTGACTACTTACAACAACTGTTTAATTTAGAAAACTTTAGTTCGCGTAGCCGGTTGGAAATCTGAGAGTGTCAGCTATAATTTGGCATTAATTTTGTTGACCTCCATAAAGGTCCTTTTTCGACTTTTGGGGGGTTTTTATAAATAATCTAGGTCTAAAAAATCTATAATTTGACTATAACTTCCGAACCGCTTTAAATAACGCAACCAAGTGACCACTTTTTGGACAGGTATTTTCATAAGCGGTACCTATATTGTATATATTGGGTATGTGGATCCGGGTCTAGGCCGAATCTTGTGCCTGGACTTTCGGGTCAAAAATAGTTTTCCGGAATCAGGGTAGAAATACCTATCACTTTAAGCACATATTTTATACTTTAAGCACATATTTTATACTCTATATAGGTCCACGATATCGTACCTTATATAACGGTACCTCCCATATTCGGTACTTTGATGGGTTTTAGCCACATTTTTCAATGAATTTGTCTGGAACCTGGTGTATGAAGTTCTTAATAGATATATAGGCCCCATATACAGGTATACCAAATGTTCGGTATTTTCATGATTTTGGTCAAAATTTTTGTAGAATATTCCGAATTGTCTTGTATTAGCTCAACGTTTAATTGTATATTTGTTACTAAAACAACATATGCCTTAAAAGTGGTTTAATAGTTTTTAACGTGACATATTCTTATAAAATACAATTTCACTTTGCAAAATCCAAAACATTCAGGCAAATTTAGGAACTCTGTCCAGATTTATTATACCTTCCGTCAAATACAGTCGAAAAAAATATCATACAAAGCGAAGCCATCCTCATAAAAAGAAGGGACTAAATCGATCGATCGATTTAATTTTAAAAATTGCCCTTAAACTCTCAGTCACAGTAATTTAATATTTATTATAAAAAACGCGTAGAATCATTTAATAAGTAAGTCAATGAAAATTAAATAAAGCAATATAAATATGTCAATTTCTTCGAAAATCAATGGTCAACAATGGGTTGATGTCATTGTACTGTACAAATTTTCTAAATTCCACAAACTGTACACTACACATGCTCGCTTTATCAAGTTCACAAACCGCAGCGGTATAAAAAGTGAAGACGTAAACACATTCCAAACAGGGTGAGTCAAGTAATATTGTTAATGGCCATTAAAAAAATTGTGTGTTGCATTTATGTTTTGTGTACGTCATTAGCAATGTTTACTTTTTTACCTACCAGCAGATGGCGTGCGTCAATTGTGGAAATTGCATTATTACTCACTTGGTAAAATAAATACGAAAAAAATATTTTCAAAGATTCTGTCACCTTTCCCCATAAATTTCAGTATGGCAGAATAGAGGGTATATTAACTTTGTCATTTTGTTTGTAAATCCTACGCATGTTAAACAACATAAAGTAAATATATTCTGGGTTAGACGATTTAGCGATGTTCGTTTGTGTGTCTGTCTGTTATAATCACGCTATGTTTCAATGAATTGAGATAGAAGGCTAAAATTTTCCACATATGTGAATTTTTTCAGTAGGCAGTAATCTCGTAAATGGGCCATGTCGCTTCCAGTTTTCGGTATTTTAATGATTTTAGAGAAATTATAGACCTGAATTGTTTCAAATTTCGTGTTTTAAGTTCGTAATGGGTACTACAGCCTATGACAAAAAATTGCATATGCAGGTCCATAATTGCATATGCAGGTCTTCGTATAGCCCTCCAATATTCGGAATAGCCTCCAATTTCGCCGACATTATTCTGTGGAATAGTGTAATTTCATATAATACCAATAAAAAAATATTGAGATATTCCAAATTTCCTCAATTCCATAATAATATTGCGATGTGCAGATTTTCCAAATTCCTTGATGCAAATAGGTGTTTGTTTCATAAAATTTTATTTGTAATTCGATATTTCCATTTGTAATTACTAGAATATCAATTGAAAGAATAAAATATAAATTTTGCATCCCAAAACTTATTTTTTTTCTAATTGTTTTGCCATCGGAAATTTATTTCACATTTTATTTGACCCTTTGTGGGTCACTCAAGTGAGTGGGCCGACCAAGCACAAAATTGAACAAAATTGGATGATCTTTTCTTGCGCCATGAGGCACATTTTTTTGAAAATTTTGATCCTTTTTAGGGGAAGGTACCAGAAAGAATTGGCCGATATTGCTCATCTTCGAATTTGATCTAGATCTACAAATATTAATTATTATATTAATTTTAAGAGACCTTAAACTTCTAAAGGGCACGTTTTTGCCGTATCAAATGATAAGATATATATCTAGCCATTTGGTAAAGGTACAATAATTTCTAATCGAAACATGCTTAATAAAGAGGAAAGTTCGACCTCGACTCATTTATGTATGACAAAAAAAAAAAAATAAAAACAATTTTGCATTTGTAATTATAAGAATTATTTAATAATACAATAAAAATATATGTGTAACATTATTGACTACTTATTCGCCTCATTACTGATACAACTTTTTTTTCTCATATATATATGTAGTTATGTATATTTATTTGTATTCATTGATTAATATATTTTTGTGTGCAATAAATTAAAAACACACAAAAACAAATAATATAATATTTATGATATTTAATATGAAATCCATTTGCCATCGTCGTCGTCATCATCATCAGCAGCGGCAACAGCGGCAGCAGCATTATTGCGAGCAATGATTAATTGATGTTCCACCGCCGTGAGCGTAATTGTTTTATGGCTATTGTGGTATTTCATGTTAATTAAATTTCATATACATTTTCACCATTTTTAATTAAGGATAAACTACAGATACACGAAGGACGAATAATTACAGAATTGTTTTATAGAATATAGTATGCATATGCAAATTACTAGGAGTAATATCTGTGTTCCAGTACTGTTTTCAAAGAAAATATGAATCAAAGGAAACATGATCCAAAAAAATGATCATAGGTAAAATTATGAATTTTTAGAATGTTTTTTAGGGACAATTATAGCATTTGGGCCTAGAAGAAAGTATATCAAATTTGGTAATACGCACCCCATAAAAGCGATTTTCAGGTAAATATATTAAATACTGCTCATCAGCGAAACGTTCATTTTAAAATGTTAGATTCCTTGCACCAATTCAATTTATTATCTAAACTGCACAATTTGTTCAAACTATTTTTACATTGTACTAAGTTTCAAGCTACACCATTTCGATAACACTTTATTCATATTTAATGTTTTCTTTATCGAAAAGGATAATCTAATAATTATTACTTTTTGAACCTATAATCATCAAAATCATTCGTTTTAAAGTTTACTGAAGATTATATTAGTAAAACCGTTGCACAATGGTTCCACATTCAATTTTTCTGACCAAAACTGTTTTAACGTCTTTTCATAATAAAAATTGCCCACCAGCATATCTAAATCCAAGAAACCAACTGTGTGCTCAATATCAAAGTCGAGCACTATCTATTTACTCAAGGGCAAATTAAGTACCATTTAGTACGTTTCGAACAATAGTAAAACGCATTTCCAAATCCACATTCTTCTCTCAAAACTGTATACTAACATTGGCCTCCATATCAGATTACAGGATTGCAGATTTATGCCTTCACCCAATATCAAATATATACAGGGTGAGATAAAAAAAACTTCAACAAAGTCAAACGCCATTGTTTTTACATTTTTTTTTAAATTTTATTGAATGAAAGCAAAAAATGTCGGAAATAGCATCAAATTTTAGAATAAGATTCGATTTGTTCGAATTGGTAACCTTTGGCACGAATTATGGACTTCAAA